CCTCGATAAGAACATTAGGGAAAGTGAGCTTTATGTATGTGAGATATATATATATATATATATATATATATATATACACACATTGTTGAATGCATTGTATTCAAGAATGCAGTCTGCACTGACATTTCAATTGTTTCTGAGTTTTATTCAAAACACTAAGTAAAATAAAACCCACAAGTCTGAAGATAGAAGTTTTACACAGAAACTTTAAGAGGTCACCCTAGCCTTGAAAATGGCCAGAAGTACTAGCTTCTTTTCCTACTTCCATTTTAGTTCTTAAGAAATATAGGAAGCCATAGACAATCAATACTAAACAAAACATAATAATAATTGGATTTCAAAAGTACTTTTTTTTAGTTTTTATTTAAATTCTAGCTAGTGAACATATAGTGTAATATTGGTTTCAGGAGTAGAATTTAGTGATTCATCATTTACATATAAAACCCAGTTCAAAAGTATTTTTTAAAACTGAAATTCTTTCTGTTTTAACTGTGATGACATGATATATAAATGAAGTATTTTTAATCTGTTCCTCCTCACTTTCAGAGAGCTAAAGTCAAGGCTCCCAGTTGGCACAATAACTTCCCACAGTATAAAGGAAAGAAAAGATATATATAGAGAGAGAGAGAGAGAGAGAGACTTATCTTTCTTCATTTTCTGTGGGAAAAAAAGATGCCTTCTATGGCTTATTAAAAATAAGGGCCACTTATTGCTAAATGCTAGTGTTTTGTTTAGTTTCATTTTGGTTTGGTTTTTGCCCACCTCTACCTCAAGAAGCTAGGAAGGCTATTTTGTAAAGAAATGTGTAGCATGAAGTTGTTTCATTATCGTCTCTGTCTCAACTATAATTATACTTGTTTCTGATTATAAAAATAATGTTGGCTATAAAAATTTATCAAGTACACAGCGGGGTAAGAATTAAAATTTCAAACCCACCAGTCTTCAATAAACACTTAGTGCTTCCTTTTGATCTGTTTTCTATATGAATTTATTTAAAATTGGTATAATTATGCCTCATACTTTAGTCAATTAATGTTATAGTCTGAGAACCTTTCAGTGTTATCAAATATTTTTAAAACACAATTTCTACTTGTTATATAAAGTACAGTATCTCCATTTTCCATAAAATGAAGTGTGATAATTTATCTTCTGTTTAACACTGAAATGTCCTCAATTTATGTGATTGCAAACAATACTGTATTAAACACTTACATGTGAATCTTTGTCCAATTTGTCTACATCTCTGATATTTCTGTATAATTCATAAATAACTAGTCTCCCATCTCCATCACTCTTCAGCTGTATTTCAAAGAAGAGCTTGATTACTTATTTAACATTTGCTTTCAGGGACAAGTTCAGAGATAGCTTCCATGGTGTTGCTGTTAAGTTGGGTGATATTCATTTCATTATTAAACTTAAAAATGTACCAATTCCTTTTTTATGAATCAAAGATCAGGGGATATTTTATTAAGTAAAGGCACCTGGCATCATATTACTTACTTTATCTTTACATAAAAATAGGTTATCAGTAAATGGTAGCTTTTGTTACTATAATAACCACCTACTTTTGGTTCCCCTATGCATACAATCCTCTAAACCCTAGCAAAATAGATGCTCCGACTGAGCTATATGAGTATATATTGACCAATGTATTTATAAAGTATCAACTATGGTCTTTGCACTGTGATAAGCACTAGTTCTTCCCAAATCATCTGAAACACTTTTATTGTTCTGTAATACTTATTTCATATTTGTAAACTGAAATCCTAAGATATACAGCAATCTCCCCATAGGGAAATTCCAAAGTCCATGCTGTTATTGCTACACATCACTATGTCTATGGTGGCTGAAATCCCACATAGAAACCTGAAATATTCTAAGAGGCACATATACTGTTTCTATATCATCCATCCCTTAAATATATTTATATATTTCTTTGGAACAAAAAGTAGAGTGCAAAAAGTGAATCCTGAACGTATGACAAAGACAGGGCATTTTCTCACACTGTGGATTAATAAACCACTAGTAATGGATGAATGTCTATTTCAAAGACAAGGAATGAATTTTGCCAGAGATTCTCTCAGCTGATCAATAGTATACAAAATTGAAATGTAGGGTATACATGCGTGAGTTTGCATGTTTCAGAGATTGAAAAAGATAACTAGGAAAAAGCCTAAACACACTAGCAAAAACAAAACCCACAGAAAATAGTAAGTATAGCATAAGCCTACAGGATGATTCAGCAACAATACGTGATGGATTTCAAGAATGTCAACTTAAGAGAACTGAATTAATATGGAATCGAATTTACTGAATTGAACTTTTATAAATGCTAGTCAGTAAATTGGATAACAACCTATGCAATCTATACCATCCTAGAGTTTAGAATGGCAAGCCAAGAGAGTACTTAAGATTTTAGAAATCATTTCTCAAAGATTTAGGGAAAATATCAAGGATATTAGGAAATCTTGGATCTTAGAATAGATCTAAACACATGTTAAAATAAGTAAAGACTTAGCCAAATTATACTCAAGAGTACTGAAAAAGCATGCAGATGTAGTTATAGAAACACTGAGAGCAGTATTTTTCAAACCAGGTATAATTAGAGAAATAGCAAAGTTTCAAAATAAACAAATGTCCCATCGTTTGAAGAAATTGAAATTTTCATAACTGTGAAATCCAATAAGCTAAGCATCAACACCCATAAATATTCCCAAATGTATTATTCATACAAATCAGCATGAGTTCATCAGGAATCAATCTATAAATTATTATCAAGAGTCTCTTCTAGTAGTCCTTTATTTTCATCATGTTTATTATGTCTTAAATTATGCAATTCACATACTTAGGGAATAGATGTAAAAGAAAGTGAAACGGATGGCTAGTTCAGTGGATAACATTTAAAAATATCATGAGCATATACAACAATAGAGTTAAATAAAAGTTAGGATTTTAAATTGTGATCAATGTAAGGTCTGTATTTAGATTCAAACAATCAGTAAGTATACTCCAGAGGATAGAGACCTGGTATACCAATAGTTCCTGTAAAAAACACTTGGGATATGAAATAACCAACTATAAATTCTGTATGCATAAATATTGTGAATGACCAAAAATGGAGATAATTCAAGTATTTTAATATATGTTAATAGAATATTATCCCAATCATGGGTAAAAATAATTTCAAAATTTTAATTTGTATCAAACAAATTAGTGCTGAATATTAAAAAAATATTTAAGACACTATCTTTTCTTTAATGAGCTCACAGTCCAAGAGTGGAAACAAACAGAAAAAGAAAATTACAACTAAAATATTGGTTAGTTATGGCAATATAATTAAATAATATTTGGAGTATAATTTTTAATTCTCATCACTTAATCTTATTTTTTTTAATTTTATCTATTTATTTGAGAGAGAGAGAGCATGAGCAGGGGCAGGGGCAGGGGCAGAAGGAGAGGGAGAAGCAGACTCCCCGCTCAGAACCCAACTACATAGGGCTCCATCCCAGGACCCTAAGGCAGATGCTCAACAGACTGAGCCATCCAGGCGACCCCTCTCATCACTTAATTTTAAAAGACACCATCATTATTTAGTATTAAAAAATACAATGTAGTATGCCAGGTTCTTTCTCTGACAAAAACAAACAAAAAAACTCCCAAAACTTAGTATACTTATTTTATAAATGAAACCACTCGATTGAGATTTAAACAAACAAACAAAAATCTACCCATAGACAAATAGCTAGTGAGTGTTCGAGCTGAGAAAGGAACACAGATTTTTCTGCCTTGGATTACTGCTCTTAAAATAAGATCAGCACTTATTAAAGTCCATCTGGCTGAAACAGTGTTTCAGGAGTATTAAGTATTATACACCCAAAGGAAAAGATTTCATAGTCAAATAATTTTGAGGAAAACTAGGTTTCTTTACTCTAAAGCTTTTTTTAAGACTTTAATATTCTGATGTGCATTGTGAATCTCCTAGAGAATGGTCTAACAGATAGGATTTTCAAATGCATTTGACCTCAGAAGCTTTTTATTCTTTTTTCTTCATTGAGCATTATGAGGTGCTATTGTCCCATTGAGCACCCATTGGGAACTCTGGCACTCTCGAAGACCAAGAGAAATCTAAACATCAGGGACTAGAAATATTCAACAAGGAGAGGGAGGAGCCTTGGAGGGGACAAGATAGCTGTCTTTAAATATCTGTCTCATCAAAGAAAGACATACCATTTCACCAAAGGGAAGATCTAGATCTAATGAATGGAAGCTACTGGAGACAGATTTCACCCCAATATGACACATCAATTAAGAGTTAAAAAAAAAAAAAATAGAAGAGCCGTCCAACAAAGGTGGCTTATCACCTATAAAGGTGTTACCCAAGAGACTTCTTCACTAGGGGAAAGGCCTGAGAACTACACTAAGCTTTCTTTGCAACTCTTCTATTTGATGGTTCATTTGCAGTAATTATTAACTGAAGTTTTCATATATTTAGCATTTCAGGTTATCTGTCCATTTTTGCACCATTTGAATTAACCATTTTACAGACAGAAGACATACAGGTTAATGGTCAGAACCTGTTGCAAATGTAAAGCCTTATATCAAAATACACATAACAACACACATGCAATTTACATTTATGCCAGGGTGAAATAAAGCTGTTCTTCTCTAACTTACAAAACACCAAGTTATTTAAATCATTTTAATTATCAATTTTATGTGTGCATACTAAAATGGAAATTTTCTCATTTACAAAATGAGACAAGGGACCTGGGAAGCATGAAACCATCTAGTATACAGATTGGTGTCAGGAGGAAGGAAAAGCTAGGGAATGTGGAAGCCATTTTTCAGATCAATTATTCTTATTTTCAATGTGTCTATACCTGGCTTTCAATGTCATTACATCCAAAGAAAACATGATTTGATAGACCACATGGATTATCAATGGTTTTTACTACAATTAACCTTTGTTTGCATAGTTAAGTTAGATATAAAGTCGTTACCTATTTGTGTATTCCTTGATGATCTGATATATGCTAATCTTAATTGTTTCATTTTCAAATCGACTATTGCTCTGGTCCTTGTATATTCGGAATTCAGCTGCTGTCACTGCTTCTCCATGAGGAATTTGAGTCAGATCAAACCGGAATTCTTTGTAATGCCTTCGCTGGTGAGAAAAATCCTTGTCTCTTTCAACTGGAAGAAGAAGAAAAAAAAAAAAAAGGAAGGAAAAAAGTTAGTCCTTTATAAAATATGGAAATTAATGGTAAATTCTCCAGCTTTGAAAATGAAGACAAACAAGTAGGATATTATAAAACTGAGAAAACACTAGAACCACAGACCCATACATGTTTCCAGTGGAAGGAAATTCCACAAACCAACAACATTTAGTTCAAAAGCAATATAATCTCTGTGGTTTCATACAAATTCCTGGATCTTAAATAGAAAGGCTATCCAAAAATGTTTTAAAAAGCAAAGGTTATAAAATGATTACTAGTATGTATCAGGTACCAGAACACAGAAGGATTCATACAGGAATTAGGAATACGTTATAGAAACCCCCAGGGTTCCAGGTGAAATCAGTGATGAGATTTAACACACCTGAGGGAGGAAAATAGGAAGGACTGAGAAATTGCAGGCACATAAAGGACTAGGTTTATGACATTATAAAGGTCAAGTAAATAAAACAAATTTATGTTCACAAGAAAGATTACTTCTAAAATGCCTTCCCCAGAAGATTTTTTTTCTCCTTTTAGCAAATAAAATGTTCTTTTATTTTTTTTTAAATAACACTTTTATTACTTCTTATAGATTGTTTAGTACAACCTCCTTACCCATGGTGCAGCATAAAGCCTTCCAAAGACCTCTGTCTGTTCTTACTCAAAATAGAGGGAAACATATTTTTCCCCTTCAACAACCTTCCTGCTAAATGAAGTCAGAGAACTTTTCCTCTTGGGAACATTATGGAATGTTGAAGAATTCAGGACAGTAAGTGTCAGGTATATTATTATCAAACCTGGCTTTGTAAAATAGAGTATTATTTCATACAGTCTATATCCACTGGGCACCAAACACCTTCTTAAGGAATTATCTATTCAAAGGACTTGTTTTTAGTACTGCACTATCATTTGATGGAGTTATGTTTCTCAGTATTGGTAGCTTTCTCAAAATCTCAGTTATCTAGGATACTACAGGACAGGATCACAAAAATCTCACTCCAAAGCACTGTGCACAAGGTATCTCATAATTACATCCTACAATCACACATGTGCATGTTCTCAGTGATGTGTTTCATTGCTAAAATTGTGTTGCAAGAAGATAAAAAAAATGTATAAATTGTATAAATGAATTCGCAAGCTGAAAAAGTTGCATGAAAATATGAAAATATCTTGAGGTGCTTCATCGAAATCATATCAACACTGCTATAAATATCTGCAACTTGAGGTCCTAAACTAGAGGAAGAATTAAGATGAAGGAAGAGAGAAGAGGGTCATGCCCATCCAGGAATGACTGTGGAAGCCAAGGCTGCTAGAACTCTGTGTTCCATGGCCAGATGGGTTCCATGTCCATGAAGAAGCTCATGACAAAGGAATGCATGATTCCTTGCCTTCATCCTTCAAAACAGTCTTCGGTTTATTTTCCCCAGGAGGAGGAGGTGGTTTAGGAGAGCGAGGAGCTCATCTCCACCCCTACCTCCCATACCTAAGCCAGCAAAGAAAAATATAAACCACGCCTAGGGGCATTTTTGTCCTGTGGAGCTTGGCAAGGATGGTGCTCTTCTGCTGTCTGGCTCAAGGTGACACCACCTCAACTGACTCATGTTTTGTTTCGGTTTTTTTTTTTAATATCACTATCTTGGTCCTAAGAGAGGTCCACTCCCAGGGAGATCAGTCATCAACTTTTCCCTAAACAAGGAAGGTAATCTCATTTTTAGGATGCTATTTTGGTCCATAATTTTAAACTTCTTTTCTGTCTAAACTTCTACTGGCAATAGCATAGACTGGTATGAACACATCTCCCGGGGCTCTGGTTGCCCATTCTCTAGCTCAGCCATGTGAGAGGGAAAGCATAAGGGTAGAAAATGCCTGCATCTAATAAATGAAAGTGCCTTCAAACTTGCCATGTTAAAACGGGCCACAGCTTTTGTTTACAGAGCACTGAACTTGATTCCCTGCAAACCTGTTCTTTTCGGATTCTAAATTAAGTAGATGATATTGTAAAACTACTTAAATAGCACTCATTATATTCTGGTCCTGTTCTAAACATTGTTAATATTAACATATTATACTTTGTAACAACCAGTGAGGTAGGTTCTACTATTATCCTCACATTGAAGATGAAGTAACTGAGGAGGCAGAGAGAATAAATACCCATGAATATGAATCACGCATTTCAGGCCACCAAGCTAGGAAATCCGAAATCTCAGATACACAAGCCCAAAATCCAAAAAGCTCTGAAAACTGACTGTGTGCTTCAAGTTTCTTTGGCAGAAGAACTGGAAATTAGCTGATTGGAGGCTCTATCCCACTTTGTATAAATATTTATTGCTTTGCTGCAGAAATGTTCATGCGTTTGACTAGGTTGCACTGTTGCAGACTCTCCTTGAGGAGTTCCATATTTTATCATAAATGCACCAAACAGCCATTCAAAAATATATTTTTCTATTCTGAAAGTCAATATTTAAAATCCTAAATAACAATCATCGTGCAATTTTTCATTAACAATCAATTTTATATTTGAAATTTAGACCAAAAAAAAAAAAAAAACACCCTATAGTCCTCAAAATAAGGCCTGAGACATGAGTTTGTTAGGATCCAATCTAAAGCATGCACCTGCATAATGCAAATAAGTATTGAATTCATATTATGTAAAGTCATCTACTGTTCTGGAATCCCTTGTGAGATGTTAGTATAATAAAGTGGAAAGCTAGAATTTCAGCTGTTATTATAAAATTTCAGTTTTCTAATCCAGGCTATTTAACCTAACCGCTTAAGGGGGCAAATTTTCAGAGTTTAATAAAATTTTATATTAAATATACCACACAAAATAAAGTTGCAGTGCAGATTTGTCCAGTGACTCAAATTCTTATATCCTATTGCTTTGAGTTGTAATTGTACTAGTAAATTCCATGGGACATGTTGGAGTGAATAATGGAATAAAACTTATATCTATATAGCCTTGCACTCCTAATGATGCTCACAAATATTCACAAGGTAATCTCAGTTACCTCAAAGAGCAAGGCTAGGGAGGTGTCAAATATTAATACCCCTAATTTAAGAGTAAGAAATTGGGTGATGACAGCTAGGTGGTAACAGATGTCTGTCTTCTAAAGCTCATTATAAATCTTTGCTCAATGTCCATACCACCTATGTAATGACATCCTACGGTTCTGTACTTAGAGACTAGTTCATAGCTAGTATATTTTTACAATGTTTCTCAGCAGTACGCAAAAAGGTGGAGAATAGGCTGGAGAATCAAGGGCTTGATCAACAATGGCTAATTCGCATCTAACACAAACAAAGCTTGATTCAAAGAAGTCTTCTAATAAATACTGAACAGAAGAGCGTATGAATGGATGAAAATATGACTCTATCTCTTCAGTAAGTATCATCCTGCTGCATTACCTGTTGAGGAAAGGCATGATAATTTCTTTAACTCTCATTTGTTTGGCACATACTTCATTTAATCCTCATACCTTACTTATGTCTCCAAGTTTCTATAACTTGCCCAAAACCCCACTATGAATAATGGGGAGAGAACAAATTTCATTCCACAGTCAAGAATTCAATTCCTGGGGCGCCTGGGTGGCTCAGTCAGTTAAGTATCTGCCTTCGGCTTAGGTCATGATCCCAGGGTCCTGGGATGATCAAGCCCCACATCGGGCTCCCTGCTCAGCGGGGAGCCTGCTTCTCCCTCTCCCTCTGCTGTTCCCCCTGCTTGTGTGTGCTCTCTCTCTGTCAAATAAATAAATAAAATTAAAAAAAAAAAAAAAAGAATTCAATCCCCAAGCCCTCAACAACATAACACTATGTTTTTTTCTAGATGTGGTTTTGTTTTATCTCATTATCACTCACCAAAGTTGATCTTTCAATGCTTTCATTCTCCTCTATGATGCTCCTACTTTATAGAAGATGCCATGCTTTCTGGACTCTGCTCATTCTTCTAGAACTCAGTCCCTCCAATCTTTATTGTAGTAAATGTCGTGTTACATTCACTTATTTAATACTGATGCCATTTCTTATCTAAGAAAATTTTTGTGAATAAGCAAGTGATTGTATTCATAATTTGAATTAATATGTAACATCTGTATTAGTATGCAAGGTCATCCTTTTATTACAACCATATTTTAAAATAATTGTAACTGACCAGCTGGAACTTTCCATATTCCAACCTTTTCTCCACCAGACCTACTACTAAAACTACCCTCCCAAAACAGATGAAAAAGGATGTACAGACATGTTTTATATCCCTTAAGTATAAGCTTGTTATAGGAGATATCCCTGCTGTGTTTATATCTGATGATTTGGGTACATATTAAGCATTGTTTCACCATATATTACAGTGTCCTATAACCCACTGCAGTTATAAATGGCTTGGAAAGCTTCAAAGATAAACAAATAAACAAGAAAATAATCAGAAAATATATACGATTTTTGTTTTTTTAATTCATATTGTATTAAATATTGGGGCCTCTCAATTCACTTTTTAATTTGAATGTTATATCAACTAAATCCCATGAGATTCCTCAATCACCTTTATCACCATTTCTAATAAAATCTGTATTGCCAAGTTAAAATATGTAAGACTCCATAAAATCATAATTACATTCCTATTGGGTGGTAGAAAAGACTCTCTTAATCACTGGACAAACAAAAAACAAACAAAAAAACAAAAACGAAGACAGGAGGTTTCACTCATTGAAAGCACATCCAGACTTGTCAAGGGGATAGAATGACACGTGTTAAAACATACTGAGGTCAGGAGGTTGACACTTCTCTCTAGTGAAGACCATTCCTTTATCCCATACCACAGACACCATTTCTCTGCTGTGGAGTGGAAAAGAGAGTTTGGGAACACACATAAGTAGATTTAAAACACACATCTGTATCAATCAATTCACCTATGAAAATTGCATTTAAAAAGAGAACACAGTGACCTGCCCAGACTGCTATTTGCAAATCCGCTTACATATCTAA